CGTTAAACTGGGACACAAATAAAAAAATTTTATTTTGGCCTATCTAAAGGCCAAATAAAATGTTTTTTATTTTTTACCAGTTTAACGTTGAATATTATTTATGATTTTATTGTTAAAATAGATCGAGAATATAATTAAATAACGTTATTAAATTGAAGTGAAAGTAGTATTAAACAAAAACTGTAAAAATTAAATAAAATAATTAATATTTTCGTTTATTTTGAGTTTACTTACTTATTATAAATATTATTTGATTACAAGTTATAGCTTTTACAGTAAGGAAGAAAATTTTTTCAAACAAGTTCGACGTTTCGATCACTGGTGCGATCATTTTCAAGTGTAGCTGAGAATGATCGTACCAGAAATCGAAACGTCGTACCTGTTTTAAAAATATTCTTCCTTACTGTAAAAGCTATAACTTGTAATCAAATAATATGCAAAAGAATGTTTGAATAACAATGTGCGGTGTTCCCTGTTTTTGTTTTTTTTTCCTTTAGATAATATATAATAACTCAGTGTTGGCGAACTTGTTAAGTAATCTATATCTAGTTTCAACAAATTAGAATCTATGCACTTGTATGTATGTCATATAATAAATTGATCAGTATTATTGCTAGAAGTTTTAAATCTCGATTGGCTTAGAACAAGTCATGAATATTTGATTCTCTTTCATAAAATTCTTACGTTCGCCCCCCTGTGGCACAGCGGTATGTCTGCGGACGTACAACGCTAGAATCCGGGTTTCGATACCGTATTGGGCAGAGCACAGATAGCCCATTGTGTAGCTTTATTCGTTTTACAAAAACAAACAAACAAAACAATTCTTACGTTCAGTAATAACTAACGATTTTCTTTTGAGTTGTTATACTATCATAGCTCACACTCTGCTAAGCAACACTACCAAATCAAGATAAAATTATCTGTAAACCGGTCTGTTAATATAGTGGCTTTATTTCTTGTCGTTTTTGGGGTCTTAGAAATTCCCTTTACCAGACCGATACAAAAGACCGATACATTTTAAGATGGTAGTGGGATTGATTCGAACGAACGCCCATTGATGCTGTATCCTGTAAAAGTGATAAGCTACTGTTATTTTCCGTCGTCTTTCAGTTAGTCAAAGAAGATTTGTGGTTTTGTTGCAGGTTTTATTTTACACTACCGCCAACAGCCACGTGACTGGATGCAAATCCATATCCTCGGAGACAAAACTAGCTATTCTATTCAGGGTTTGAAATGTGGAACCAGTTACCAGATGTACATTATTGCCTTCAACAGCATGGGCAAGAGCGATGCAAGCGACATAATTTCTGGCGTCACCAAAGGTTCTGGTATGTTTAAGTTTAAATGTAGCTGCTTATTCCAAATCACTTACACATCTCAATATATCTGTATCTCTAACTTCCAAGTATTTCTCAGCGTCCTAAAATAACGTGATTTAAGATAATATTTGTTGAAAAACTAACTTGATAATGTATTACCAGTAAGTACTAGATTGGCTCAAGCGAACTACTGGGTAGCGTTTAGGCCGATAACTTCAAGGGAAACATTTCTGTATAATTTTCGATTGACAACCGATTAGAATAACGGTTGTATACAGAGGTGTAGGAGGCAAGTTAAAAGTGGGGGACTGCCTCCACTTTCTACGCCAATATAAGAAGTAAAATATTGTTACATTCAATCCTTTCACACGTAGTCATTACATTATTTTTGTTTGTTTTTTTCAGCCCCCGTGGCACCTAGTCAGAATCTTTTAGTAACTGTGAACTCAACAACGATGGTGATCAGGCTGAACGCCTGGTCTGATGGTGGCTGCCCCATAAACCATTTCATCCTGCAATACAAGCCTTTGGGTCACACAGAGTGGATAATGGTCAGTTCAGAAGTGTATCCAGAACAGGAAACTGTTAGTATTAGTATGCTAATCCCCGGAAGTTGGTACCTGATACTGATGTCTGCCGTAAATAGTGCAGGTATCACAGAAGCAGAGTACAGGATAGCGACGCTCTCGCCATCTGGAGGTAATAATTAAAACATCGAATTTTTTTGGATTGAATATAAATAGCATTTTTTATTCACTGACGGTTAAAAAAGTGTCTCGTATTTCAAGCTTTATTTAGCTGCAAATGTATTGATTATTATAAAACTACTTTTTATCTTTTTTCAGAAACTTTGACACGTGCTTAGCCTGTATTTAAACTGGGATTTAAACAAGCTAATTTGTTGTTGTTATTTTTCCTTCACTTTCTAGTGAAAACAAGAATTTATTAACATAAAACATGCATTTGTAATTTCTGAATAAGTTATATTTCGAGTCATGTATTTCTATCAATGACAATAAAGAACCTTAATTATTAACAATGACTTGAAATGCAGCCAGCCAACTCATTAAATGTTAGGGCATATTTGGTTTGTCTTTTAACTTATGCTAACTTTATACTGTTACGACAGCGGGGGTCACGTGACGCTAGTAACACGTCATATTCTCGAAGGTTCGTGAATCCTCGAGTGTTTACTAGATTTGCGGTATTCTTGTATATATAAGACCGGTAAGAAGTGACGGCAACAATGTAGTTGAATTGCAGACAGAGATACAGATGACAATTGAGCCAAGCGTTCGTTGTGAAATATAGCGTGACTGTGGAAATGAAGTGTATTGCAAAGTTGTATTCAGAAAGAATAAACCAATTTTATTTAAGAAAGGACTTGTATCGGTAAAGTTTCTTCAGAAAGCATTTTTTACGGAAAATTAACAAACGACTAGAGACGTAACAAATTGGTGTCAGAAAGTGGGACAGAAAAAAAGAAGAAGATGGAAACGAGAGGCGGCAAATCAAACTACAGCTTAGCAGATTTGATGGAAGCAATACAAGAACAGCAAATAAAAACCAAGAAGAACAAGAAAAGAAAATAGAAGAGAGACAACAGCAGTTGCAAGAAAACCTGCAACAGTGGCAGCTCGAATAGCAAAATAAACAAGAAGAGAGATTACAGCAATTGTTGGAGGAAAAAGAAAAGAAACAAGAAGAACGAGAAAAGAAACAAGAAGAAAGATTACAGCATTTGTTGGAGGAAAAAGAAAAGAAACAAGAAGAACGAGAAAAGAAACAAGAAGAAAGATTACAGCATTTGTTGGAGGAAAAAGAAAAGAAACATGAAT